AATTTTCAACTTGTGTCTCATGTAACTCAAAAAGTATTTGACCTAGAGTCATGAAACTTTACAGGAATGTTGATCAGCATGTGTAGTTGTGCACCTGGGTATTTTTGTCCGGATATTTTTAGTATTTTTAGAGTTATTGCCATTGACTTAGTAAAATTTTGCAATTTTCAACTTGTGTCGCATGTAACTCAAAAAAGGTTTGACATAGAGTCATGAAACTTTACAGGAATGTTGATCAGCATGTGTTGTTGTGCACCTGGGTATTTTCGTTTGGATATTTTTAGTATTTTTAGAGTCATTGCCCTTAACTTAGAAAATGTTTGCAATTTTCAACTTGTGTCGCATGTAACTCAAAAAGGATTTGACATAGAGTCATTAAACCTTACGAGAAAGTTGCTCAGCATATTAAGTTTTGCACCTGTGGTTTCGCTTGTGGATTTATCCAGTATTTGTAGAGTTATTTCCCTTGACTTAGTAAAAACTGTTTCATTATGTTGTTATTTGTTCCTTGAGTGCTTGAGTTAGAATCAACCAACTTTACAGGAATAATGATCAACATCACTAAAATACAGGAATAATGATTCACATCACTGTGAAGCTATGCACCTGGGACTTTGCATGTGGATTTTTTCAGTTTTGTTAGAGTTATTGCCCTTGACTTACAGTAGTATAAATTTGCAATTTTCAACTTGTTCATGCATAGCTCAAAAAGTATTTCACTTGTAGGCCTGAAAGTTTACAAGAATGTTGGTCAGCATATGTACTTATGCACCTTGGGGTCCGCTTGTGGATTTATTCAGTTTTTGTTAAGATCTTGCCCTTTACTTAGTAAAAGATTTTTAGTTTTCAAAAAATATTTGACCAAGAGTCATAAGATTGACAGAACAGTGGCGCGGTGGGGGCACCCGTGTCCTATGGACACATTTCTTGTTAAAATATACAAATGCACAATATAGTTTCTGTTTTTCGTGATGTAAGATTCTATATATCAAACTTATATTTGGATCTCCTTTTTAAGTACAGGGACCAATATGCCTTTGGTCCATAAGTCTGGGTACGCACAATAACTATACATATAATTAAACAATTTACATAACAAATGTGTGATAATATATTTAGAGTCTAAAGATATTTCGGAAATTAACATATCCTCTGGCGTTTCAAATTAGATATAGCTTTAATCACTTCATCATCTGAACATTTACCATCTAACTGGTTATAACATGTACAAAACTTTCATGATTAACAGTATTTTCCATATTTTGATTGCTAGAAATGTTAGTATCTGAAAAGAGTGACTTAAAATGTTCATAAAGATCATTAGCTGACAAATCAGTATCAGAATTACAATTTTTCTTCTTGTATTTACGTAGAAGATCCCAAAATGTCTTTGGGCTACTTTTTGAAGCATTATGCAATTCATCTTTTTGCTTGCTCTCAGCTTTCCATTTTACCCTTCTATAATACCTCCGTTTAACATTAACCACAAGATAATTTTTATGTGTCCTTAAACGGCGATACTATTTAACTCATGTCTGGCAGTTTTGCAATCGCTCGTGAACAGATTATCATGCTTTTTGTATTACAGTACACATGTTTGTTTACACCACAGGACATTGACATTCTTTAAGCGAATGATTAAAAAATAACGGCATATATACCCATGATACTATTATTTTTAATTGTTTGCTTAAAGAATGTCAATTTCCTGTGTTTACACCAAATACATGATATTCAGCATTATACAGTACATTACCAACACCCTGACTAATTGTGTTATTTGAGGAAATAATTTGGTTAACAATATCATTTAGTTTACTAAAATCATCTAATAGAACATAATTATAGTCATTTTTTTCAACTTTTCCTTTATCCCGAATAGGTTTGGGTACATTATTTTATTTAACATGATATCTTTTTTATACAATTAACTTTGAAATTATATGTACAGGAACATGTTGTGAAAACTTTTAATAATAATGTACAATAAAGTGAGATATGATATGAAATAAATATGATGATGCAATAGCGTAATCAATGACACTTTTACCGTTACTGGACAAGTAACCTCATCATCACCAATTCGTCCATTTACAATTTTTAAATCAGAACTACGACATATATCAAGCAATTTCAATCCAGAAGCGTTACAAATGATATATTTTTTTTCCTATTACTTAAAAGTAATGGACACTCTTCCGTATTTTGGACAAGTGTGTGAACGTATTTATCAAACACACTATATAAAACTATTTCTATCTGTAGTTCCGGCATTAAAATCACCGATGACACACATTTTATAAAGATTGTTGTATTTTCAAATATAATGTTCAAAATGGCTCTTTTAAATCATGCAGTATAAAATAAGAAGAATAATTTGGTGGAATATATGCAAAACATATACAAATATCATTTTCAGGTTAAAAAAGTCTTACATAGTTTTACGACTATAAAAAACAGTAATGTTATTTTGTATGATTTTCTAATAAAAAGACAAACAGCACCGTGGCCTCTATAAATTCGTCTGTTTGAAGTTACACTTTCAGGCCTAAACACACATATCGAAACATAATCATCAATACAATATTCATCATTTATGCCACGCTTTACTTGAACCATCAAGTCGAAATTTCTGACAAAGTTTAAGAATTCATTGTCCGTTAAACAGTGCTTTAGTCCTTCAACATTCTAAGATAGGATTGATAAGTCACGCTCTTCTCGTCCGTCCTACGTAGTATGGTGGGGATCGGGGGAGTAAAACATTGTTAATGTACAGCTTATCTCTAACAAGTTAAGTAATAGAAAGAGCACCGAAACACGAGGCTATCTGATTTGTACGAGGGGGCGTAGCCCCCGAGTATTAATCAGATTGCCGAGTGTTTTGGTGTTCTTTCTCTTTTGTATCATAGTCAAACATAAAAGGACGTTCCCTGTTGTCACAATATGAAACCCCGGCAAAAATAAACCAATGAACGAACATCTGAATATGACATTTCTGTCGCTTTCTCTTTCTCTGCCGTCACAATATGTAAACCCAAGCAAAAATGAGCCAATCAATGGGCATGCTCTGGAGTGCGGGTAACTAATACCCGCACTCCAGTTAACGCACTGTGCATGTATATGTATACGATTTAACCCTGACTCATTTTCAACAGAAAGGTCTCCAAACTATGATACAAGCAGTATTTTCAGCTTCGCGCGCTTCCTTCATCTTTGGAATGAGTTGCTTCCTGCGTGCTTGGACTTCTTTCAAAAAGGGATGTCTTTGAGTTTAGCAGATTTAAGGGCATCCTTAACTAAGATTTTTGAGTCAAATGCAAATGCGGGATCTAGCATCTTTGATATTCAAAACTTTCTCACAAAATATACATTTTATCAGAGCAATTTTCGGAAGCAGCAGCCCCTGCATATGAGATGGAGTTGTGTCCATCATAGGTAGCAATGTTTTCATTCCACTTTTCTTCAACCTCGGTAGGTTCAGGTAGTGGGTGTATTAGGCCTAGAGGGGCTCCGCCAATGGAATCTTGCAGCAGTTTTAGATGTTCAGAGATACCCAAAATTACCATATTGTCTGTCATAGAACGGCATCGGAGATCAGTGATATCATCTTGAAGTTGTGCATTTTGTTTACTTAAAGTTATGTTCCTGCCTGTCAGCATGTATTCATTGGATATTTTTATCGTGTATGATCGAGTTTTTCATGACTGTGTCATATTTGTCATTGATGAGAGTTTGACCCGTAATAATGTCTTTGATTTGTGAATTTGCTTCGGAAATTTGGATTCTATTTGTGGAAATATCTGTTTCAATTTTCGTGAGTCTGGATAAAATCATAGATTGTTTGGTTTCAATATCATTAAGTTTGGATAATTTACTGACTACATAACCGAGTTTAGCAGGTATTTCGTTATGATAGATCTAATGCGGGTCTGTATGATGGGGATGCTGTGCTTGGGAACCAACGTGAGTAACCCCAAACGGGTTCGAAGTTATGCTCCTCGTAGGGAATACGAATGCTGTAGCAGTTACATTTAGGGGAAAATTTACACTAGGCACAGTTTAAACACTTGATGGAGTACTATTTGGTACTAAGGTTTGCACTTTATTCTTAGATTTAGCTCCTTTTTTATTGTTGGTCGCCATTTTTATTTCCATGTCTTCAGTTTCACTTGAATTTTAACCAACCTGTACCTTCAGACATTTTCGTTCGTCGCCGCTTTGTTGACATACATACTACCTCATTTATACAATAAACACTTACAAACTTTTTTGTACTAAAATGTCTGCAAGTTTATATTATATTATTTTTATAAATGTCCGGTCAAAAACGAATGCGTCGACAGCCATTGTTGTTGTTGTTGTCCAAAACCGTGTATAATCGACTGAGACACTTTAAATATGTTTGTAGATAACGATTCAGTTAGTTCATGTATCACGTGATCGATCGGTAAACAGCGATCAGCGCGAAACAGTTTCATTGTTTAATCGTTGAAGCAAATCATAACTATAAAACAAGTCCTAAATTCGGGTACTTTATCTTCATCCCAAACGACGTTTATTTTCAGCCGTATTTTCTCTATTCGAATGTCTTTTTAACGAAAATATACTGATGCATGATTAAAATCTTCATTAAAATCTTGAATGGCAAAATGTGGTACATATCTAAAATCAATATATTGTAACAATAAATCGTCAAAGGTGCTACTACCCTTACTGAAAAAAAAACGTAATTTCACCCCTTTTTTTGATCCTCATATAGGCGGCCGTTCGCTATGAAAAACCAATCGATTTACAATTTTACAAGTGTTTAATCGACCACGTGGTCTTGATTTGCACGTGCTGTGATATCATTTTGGAAAATATAGGACATATTTCGATCTAAATACTTATCGAATACAATGAAATCATCTAAATTTGAAGTACGACTATTGAAATCACCGGACAAAACACTTTTCCTAGTAAAGAGCACTTAAGAATATTAATTTCTTATTGATAAAAAAAAACGAAATCTATAGAACTAGATACTTTTGAGTTAGTTAGTGGTTTATTTTCGGAGCAGCTAATGTTTGTTTGTTCCCCCGGATTAGCTGGGAAAAGCCTTAAATATTCTTGATTACAGAGTAAGTCTTATCTTTTATTTTCGCTGACTTTAGATAACATCCTTTGTGCGTTAGGCTTTAGACTTTTCGGGATTTTTCATTTAGACATTTAGGCAAAATTAAAACTGTTCAATAGAATTTCTATTAACTTGGCTGTTGTTAGAATATGATAATAGAAATATTTTAAGCGAAACAAATTTGAGGTCGACGTTATGAGTTCTGAGCGAGCTTTCTGCCTTGAATCTTATTTGAGGTTTTTCAAAGACAGATAACTTATACGTACATGCGTACATGTATGTTTAAAACATTTTGTTTTTATATTTAAATCATGTTGTTTGTTTTTGTTTTATTTTGTTAATCACAATACGTACATAATAATAGGTTATTCCATATCTTATTTCTGTAAAACATTGCCAGTTTGAATAAAGTTCTTCAAGTTGTGTAAAAATAGGCCATTTTGTTTTTTTTAAAAAAAGGTCACAGGTTTAGAAAACAAGATGAAAGACGCCAATCCACTCTTTATTCTTTATTGAAATTTTGCACATTCACTCAAAAAGAAGTTAACTGTAGAAAATAAGCAAAAAACAAGGTATTGTATACCTTCATTTTGAATTGTTTGCCCTTGATTTAAGCAAAAGCCCATTTCAGGGGCAGTTAACTAAATAACGATGACGGTTACCACCGAATTTCGTTAAAAAGTTCCTATTATCATATTTAAGAACATGCTAGGTTTTAGAAAAATATATTGAACAGTTTTAATTTTGCCTACATGTTTTTATAAAAAAAATCCCGAAAACTTCTTAAATTACGTAATGAAATAACTTACTTAAATATTTCGAATGAAAATTGAAAAAGTACTGTTGAGTTGAGAAAAGAAACTGTTAAAGACAGAAATTATTTTTCGTTACATGGACGCATTATACTGATTTTAAGAGACCTAAATGATCGAGAGATTGTGGATACAATACAATGTATTTATTTTTTTTTTCTACTAAAATATTTTATCGACTTACAGATCACCATTTAAGCATATTTTCATCGATTATATTTCATGTTAAGCTATGATGAAACAAAAGTAAATAACAAGGAAAGAAACTTGTTAAAAAGGAAATAAAACCGAACTGTTTAAGACAGTACACAATTTAGACTTCGTGCGATTCCTGTTACATTCAATTTATGAACTTGATGTTTTTGTGTTGTTTTTTTTTCATAACTTTATTAACATGCCATAATTTTTAGGCTTGATTGCGGGACACTTTTCATTTGAATGGGGGGAGGGGAATTGATCAGCAACCAAATGAGCCGTGACATGACATTTCCAAAATAGTCGCCAAATTTGACATTTTCAAAGATTCTCAAAATACGTTCTTTTCTGATTTTTTTTTTTTGGATACTGAAAACTTGATTTATAACGTTTCTTTGGCGTTAGTGACTACATCATTCAAAAAAGCTACGCTTCATGGTTTAAACTAAATCCTCGTTTTGCTTGACGTATACTCCTACATGTATCTTAATACGTAAAACGCATGCAAAAATAAATTATTGACAAGGTAGCTCACATTTTTTTATAATGACTTTATTACACAAACTTTGTTCAAGAGTACCGTAACAATTGTAACCTATCTAAAGTTGCGTGATCATATACTGTATACATTTATAACATATTTACATAAAAACTTGAACAACAACAATTTTTAAGCATGATGAATATTTTAATTAAGTCATAGGAAACAGACCCACGTAAAGAAAATGAAGTGAGACGTTAATCGGTTATGCGTAAACAGCGCAAAACAAACGAAGTTTATTATTTTAGCGCAGTTATTGTTTTTTGAATCAAGACATATCCTCTAAAAAACAAGATACACAAAATATTTTAAGACATTTACGGAATCATGAAATTATACGTAGCCCACAAAAATAGTTCGACAAAGCTTTGTTCAAAACGCCATGAGTGATATACTCTGAGTCATATGGGTTTTATCTCACGAATAAAAAAAAACAGACTTTCTCTTATTAGCATAAACTATTGCAACGTCTTGACAGAGTACATCTCAAATAACAATGCAAAATATTAACAAAATAAAATATCACCGTATGTCTACTGCGTGACTTATGCAGTATAGGGGCTATTTTGCACAAAGTAATTTACGTGAATTGCAAGTGCTGTATGGAATGTGTAAATTTCTTCTTTGGTACACTTCACAATATTTTACTAAAATATACAATTCCCTATTTGTTATGAAAATAAATATGAATCTTGAAGCATGCTGCTTACATTAAATTCAAGGAAATTTATTTTCCATAAAACAGGATGATATTTCAACAACTTCAAGCGGCTTAAGCACACATCCACTACAATAAACAATTGTCTCTCAATTACATACTATTGTTATGAGAATCAGTTTTATAAAACAATGATATCCATTGATTTGATATCTTCCCTGTTCTATTATATTGTCCTTGCAATAGAAAACACTTTCAGGGATTAAATTAAGCAAAAATTACATGTATTTTTTTTATGATTGTTATTGTTTTTCAAGGGTCAAGATGTTTTCCAAGTATTTCCATTATTGAAACATGTCGTGACTGATATGTATACATGTGTATATAAATTGGAATCATATATATTCCTTGACATTTTCTTCCTTGTAAAAATGAGTCATGTCTACCCATTTCTTTAAACTGCGGAAACTTAAGTGACGATATCAACATCAGCATATTTCAGGCAGTTCAAATGTTTATCCGAGATTGCAAACGATTTCCATAGTCTATGCTTCACTGCTTCTCCAATTTACTCCCGGAATAGATCCTCCTCTTTTCTTCTACTTATGAAATTCAGTTGGTTTTTTGTGTATTTGAAATTATGAAATTCTGAAACTTTATACAGTTATTAACACGACAATTATTGTGTTTAATCTATTAACCAATTCCTTAATATTTCATCTTCTACTTAATGCCCCTTTTCGTTTTGTAGGTGGCTAATTTGACTTAGTAACGAATCTTTTTCATTTTTTGAATCCAATTAACAGTTACTTTTCTACTTAAAATTAAATATTTCAAAAATTTTCAAAAAAAAGTCTTATTTATGGTAGTTAATCCTATGTCAGGAAAAGGCCCCTATAAGCATTTTATTCTTTCGGATCTGATCCTATTTCTGCAATGTATTGTGTTATTTCACTATTGTATGAAAATCTTGTATGAAATAGCAGATGCATAAACTTAACTGCGTAAAAACGCCATCATTGTGGTGAAAAAAATATTATATTATTGCAGTAACGAATTGTTTTTTGTTGTTTTTTGCTTATATACAACAGATGCGCGCACTGTTTAAAGCTGCACAGTTCTGACTGGAAAATCGCGCGTCGTATGATTAAAATAAAAGTGGCGTCAACTTCGACGTAACGTTTCAACGATTACGTCATTTGATCACTATGTTGAAAATGTCATGTCATTGCTCATTCATAGTTTCTAAAATTTACATAGTAGCATACAATCTATATAACCCGTATTTAGAGAATAGAATTGAGAGAAAACAGAATTCCTAAAGAAAGCCCAACACGGCAATATTGAAAATGTTGCAGGCTCGGTTTGATTGGGCCTATTATCTTTTTTATAAAGTATTGAGGCTTCGTAAATTCAGTCAGTCACAGAATAGTATAAAGCTATGTAAAGTAAGTACAATTAGCCATGTCGTTTCGTAAAAATAGCGAATCATGTACTAGTAGACTATATAACCTCATATTTAGATGTAATTTCACGGTGTTTGAGCACGAAGTGGAGAATATGATTGTCTGCAGGCGGATTCAACTTACGTTTTGGTGATTTACGTGGGTTGTAATTGCCATTGATAATATGTACATTGTTTGCTTTTGGTTACTTCACAATATTACACATTTAAATACATTTTCAAAATTTTCATGAAAATAAGCATGAATCTGGAAGCGTGCTGCTTTAATTACAGTTTATGACACATTATGACACATTTGCTAAGGAAGCCACAGGTGGTAAACTATTGTATATTGCAAGGCTGTATGGGGTTGATCGTTTCGTTATTTGCGTTCTGGAATAATTAATAATAATTTGATAGTGAGATTAAAGTATTTAAAATGTAAAATTTCTGGCTGCATAGTAGATTATTTCAGATTTTGATTTTTACTGGGACATAAATCATCTCCGGGACGCCTCCAGAACAGACATCTTATTTCTGGAACAGCCCCGGACGTTCGGGCCGTTATGGCATGTCTTTAAAAGACAATAGAAGTGCAATTAAATTTCATTTCATCGCATAGATATGGTTATAGCTGATGCAATACACTGGTTACCCTGCGGCCAAAGACCTGAACCCGGCGTATTCTCAAAAATAAGCCGAGGTACGCCCCCTGGCAAAACACTGACCCCCACTTTAAAAAAAAGAAAGTTTGTTTTCACCTGGGCCACCGCGCGAATAATTTCCCCAGGTTTCCCCCCTAAAGGGTTTAAAAAACAAGTGAGTCACGCTTCCTGTGTTGAAAAAACTGTTTTCAATTTAAAAAAGAAGAAAAAAACAACAGAAAAATTGTCTTATAATGTTATATTTTCAAATGTTTAAGCCATAATTTTATTTGACAACAGAACACCATTTTCACCAGAAAGATCAATCGATGCCGCATCCATAAAGGGCGCCCAACGGGGTAAATGTATATTTCGCATTAAATACTCATTATTGAAATAATATACGAAGTTTATTGTGCGTTTAAACACACCGTGATTGTTCGACTGATTTGTGGAAATGTCATTTCGGATACTTGATTAAGGTATTAGCACCCTAATGCATTACCTACGCGTTGAAGAGTATTCAAATAGGCTAGAACTACTGTTAACTACATTGAAAATGAGGGCCATGGGTTCAATCCCTAGAAGGGTCAACTTTTTTTCTTTCTTTTTTTTCTTTTAACATTATTTATGTATCTCTCATGTCCCATTTGGAAAGAAAAAAAGTGTTTTATTTTGATTTTTTAATTTATATAGATATTTATTGGCTGAATTAGGCTAAATCTAGTAATAAATATGATACCTGATATTTTCAAAGTGTAATATAATCAAAACTAGACGGTAAAAGTATTTCATATTTTACAAAATCAACCAATATACTTTTTTAAAAATTTAGGGAAACTTTGAAAACAGGCACTCATTTGGGTAAATTTTGAGAATTTTTTAAATTAGGCTCCCTAAGTAGAAAAATGGTCAGACACATGGTAAAAATGGGTGGGGTAGGGTAACATTTTTATACAGATTTCATAAATTTTATGTAGGAACCATAATTTTGCTTATGTGGATTGTTAGCTGAATGGTACTGTTTGTTTCTTACCAAAAATTAATGGGAAAACATTTTTCATTAGAAAGTTATTGCAGATTATTTAAAGGTTCCTCATTTCTAAAAAAGGCCTTCATAACATCCTAGCTTGAGTTCAGAAAAGTGGCCATAACTTGATTTCCGTACGGTAAACTTTGTTTAAATTTTGCATACAGGTTTACTTTAAGGTATACATCTGACCTATGATGTCAATTTTTCAGTTCCTTATAGTGCCCATTAGGGTCCTCATACCTTAATTCAAACATTTATTTTTTTTCACATGTAACAGGTATTTTTACCTTCAATGTCCCCACGGAACCGTTCAACATAATTGGAATAATTGAACACATTTAGTCCGCCATTTTGAAGACAGCATAAGAAACGAAACTGGAAATTATTGTGTTTTGACGAATTCAAACTTATGTATGTTCTATTTACAGGTACATAGAAGTGTAAGCAATGGATACGTTGAGGAAAACATTAACAGTTTTGTTTTGGGGCTTGCTAGCTCTAACAATCGTGGATGCTGGACCCTTTTCCTGGATGAAAAAAGATAAATTTGATGAAATAATGGACAAAATGACTGCAGTTACAGCAGAAAACTGCCACTCAAAACCACGGTCAGAGCTAGAGTTACCCAAGGAGTCAGTGTCACATGTACCCGTATATAACAAACTGCTCAGTAATGTGTATTTTGCCAATAGATCTATGCTTCTACACATGCATAATTTGGCGTTCAATCGAGCCTTCTATTACAGTTTTATTTATCAAAGAATGAACACATCAGATGACTTTGAACATCAGCCCGGTTTGATGTACCTGTATATGTCGGCTGCTGCCGATGTCTCTGCATCTCCGGGATGGGTCAACGGCTCATCATTACTTTTTGACAATAATTGTACTTACCCAAATTGGTATACAACAGTCGATTTTAACACTACTCTCTCTTTATTTGGTCCAAGAGCGTGGAGAGCTGATGATTATAATGAACCACAAAATTACTTACGTGAATCCACAAATAGAACAATTAATGTTGAAGACTACGCAACAGGTACAGTTCCAAACTACACAGATGAATCATACAAATACGCACCTTATACTCGATATGAGTACGACCCAACAGATGCGCGACAAGAAAAGCCACTTTTCTGGTGGCCAGATAGTCGTGGCTACAAAGACTCTTTACGTAAATTCACATACTCGGTTGGAATAAAATTTTCCAATCAGACAGGCAAGTTTACAAGAGATGACTTTGAAGGAATTCCATTTTTTGGGCCGCCACAACCAGGTCAGACTGATACTGATATTACATTACCTGTGCTATTCACAAAACCATACTTTGATTGTGGACGATCAAATCGTTGGATTACTACCATGTCTGCTCCTGTGGTTGACTTCACGCCTAGATACTCATCATGGATCCATCTAAGAAGACCTAGGTAATGGTTGTTTAACTTTAAGAAACATTAATAGATTTCTGTAGGCTTAAAACTTCGAGCAATCTATATTCTGATCTACAGGAACAAAATAAATACATATTCAAATTATAACATTAATGTCATGTCTAAAAATATTATAAATTATTAAGCTATAAATGTTTGTTGGAAAGTAGATGCACTACTGGCAATGGACTTTAATGTTTGATTTTGTAAATGTCCTGTTCATAATAGTTATTTAATGGTTTTTACGAGTCAATATTTGGCAGGGACATCTCTTGTTCTGATATATCAAGAAATGAAAAACTGTTACTTTATATGAAGGTGTACAACTACAGACTAAAATAAATAAAATTAAATGGTATGATGTCGCTTAATCGTTAATAATTATTTGTTTATATTATATGTGATTTATATAATGCAAGCTAATTGAAAGCCCATTGAAAATGTGAACGTCATTTAATTTCGTTATAAAATATAGTTGTTATGTTTCTAGACATCTACATAAAGTACCTTTAATATATATGTTAATTAATAGTAACAGCTACAATAATGTCATATACAAATGTTTATCAAAAACCATGCTCCATGCTTTATTTCTACAAGAAAAAAGTTGTTTTCATTGTGTATGTAACGTATTTACTTATACACAATAGAATACACTGCAGTGATAGAATTATTTTAATTTGCACAAACCATTGTATCATTTACTCATAATGATAAGGTTTGAAAATAGCCATAAGACAAATATAAAACAAGGATTTTTTTTCAAAAGCCATAATAGGAATTTAATTGTTGTAGACATGGTGATTAGTGACGGGAACGTAACAGTATTTAATCTGAAACTGTGTGCCAGATATTGCATAAAACAAGGAAGCTGTCCTTAAAGTAAAGAATCAACCTTTGTCATTTACAGAATCTTTTATTTTTGTGCCCCCGTTATTAGGGGTTCATCTGTCCGTTCGTATTCTTTTGTGTCGTGCGAAGCTCAAAAAGTATTTGACCCAGAGTCATGAAACTTTACGGGAATATTGGTCAGCATCTGTTGATGTGCACATTGGTGTTTGCGTGTGTTTCTTTTCAGTATTTGTAGCGTTTTTGCACTTAAGTAAGTGTAATTTGCAATTTTCATTTTTTGTCGCACGTAGCTCAAAAAGTATTTGACCAAGGGTCATGAAACTTAACAGCAATGTTGCTCAGGATGTGAAGTTGTGCACCTGGTGTTTTGCTTGTAGATTTGATCTGTTTTGTCAGAATTATGGACCATGACTTTTCGGCAATTTCTAGTTGGGTGGTCCCAATATTCCTACTTGAATAATGTTGAATCACCCTTAGGATATGTTGCCTGCTTTTTAAATTTGTCTTTTGACGTCTTATCTGTGATACGCAGGCTTCATAACCTCTGATCCCCTTTCAAAATTCCATTTTATTTAGTTCCGCCCATTGTTTTCTCGTTTAGGGCACACGCTTTTTATTAGTTGGGGACCATACGCCGCTTTTCATGGAATGGCACGGAAGTGTCACATTGAGGGTTCCATGATAACAGCCGTATGACCACATCTGCGGATGTTTCTAAATTCAAAATTTTACTATTTCTTTAAATGTTGAATTCTGCTTAAACCGGTGCTAGGGGGCGTGGACGGTAACTTGCACTTTCCAGTACCGTCCATGAACAGGCTCAATCAAACCGAGCCTGCAACATTTTCAATCTTGCCGTGTTGGGCTTTCTTTAGGGATTCTGTTTTTATCTATTTTTTAGTAAAAATGGCAATATTCAATTTGTGTCAGGCGTAGCCAAAAAAGTATTTGACCTAGAGTCATGAAAATTAAAGGAATGTTGGTAAGCATGTGAAGTTGTGCACCAGAGGTATGGTTATGGATTAACTTAGTATTTGCAGAGTTTTTGTCCTTGATTAAGTAAAAATTTACAATTTTCATCTTGTGTCCCACGTAGCTTAAAATTTTGACTTATAGGCACGAAACTTTACAGGAATGTTGTTAATTATATGAAGATGTGCACCTGGTGTGTTTCTTGTGGATTAATTCTGTTTTGTTAGAGTTATTGCCCTGACTTAGTAAAAGATTTCAAATGTTTTAATTTGTGTCGCTTGTAGCTGAAAAAGCATTTGACCCAGAGTCATGAAACTGTATAGGAATGTTGGTCAGCGTGTGTAGTTGTGCAACAGGGGTTGAGGATTTATTCAATATCTTTAGAGTTATTTCTCTTGACTTAAAAATTTGCAATTTCCAACTTGTGTTTATCTCCAAAGGTAATTGACTAAGAGTCATGAACCTTTACAGAAATGTTGGTTAGCATATGCAATTGTGCACCTGGTGGTTTGCTTATGGATTTATTCAGTATAGTAGAGTTATTGCCCTTTACTTAGAAGAAACCATTCTAAAGAATGTGTTATGTGTACCTTGAGTTCTTGAGTTAGAATCTACCAACTGGCATTGTTCAACATGCAATTATTTATACAATTCATTCTTCAAACAACTCAAGTATTACTATATCATAAGAGAACTGCATAATTTTTACATTATACAGGTTTGTAGCTGTGGTAGGAATAGATGGAGTGTTTGAGCGTATTGATATCAATCAGTGTCCTTTCTCAGAAGGAAATGATCCTCCAAACATGTTTGCTGGAACACATAGATGCAGGGAAACTACAATGGTAAGTCTATGTTACACTGATGAACACTTATGTTGCATGGGGTAAGTGCTGGAATGCAATGAGTATTTCTACATAGATGCTGTAAAACTCCGATGGTAAGTATTGGTTTGCAATGAGTATGTTACATAGGTGCTGTGATTCTAAAGAAAATTAAATGGCATAGCAACTTTTTTAATGATATGTATGTTCTAGCACATCCTTATAAAACCTATACTTTTTAATGTGAACAAACAAACTGCTATGAAAGAGTATGCCAATACTGTGTACTTAATTTAGTGGTTGTAAATAAATAAAAAACATATTGCACTACACTTGAGTGATTACATTTTTATTACATATGCGATGAGTTTGCTTATAATATATTTAACAATTAAGGATTGGTAATTTCGCTGATACACCTTGTCTTACATGAAAGATCATGGCAAAATGAATGCACCGTATAATGACGTGATTTATTATTCAGAATCAGCATGAAATTGTCAGTCATACTTCCATCTAAATGTTTCAATGACAAGTAAGTTCTGGTAAAGATACCCGACTTACCATTTCTAAAGAAAATTATATGGCATATCAATTTTTATAATAATATGTATGTTCTGGCACATCCTTATAAAAACCTATACTTTTTAATGCGAGCAAAACGATATTTGCTATGAAAGAGTATGCCAATACTATATACTTAATCTAGTGGTTGCAAATTAATAATAAAACGATTTTCATCATGAATTAAGAATTTTAAATGGAGAAAAGCAGGAAAATATTATAAAATACAAAACAAATAGAAATGTTAATTTTTATTGTTGATCAGGACATAAACTTTTTTGTACAAAAATAAAAGAATTCTATATGTGAGGTATTTAGGGCAAGTTATTCATAAACTACATTATGACTGACCAAATTATCAAGTTGTATATGTTAAATATATATCAGATCACTAACATATACTGTAATGTGCAATTTTTGTTTGGGTTACTCAGAATTATACATACATTGTACTTGTTTTTTTTTCACCAGTTTTAAAGTGAGGACTTTCAAAAATTATATAATTCTGTTTATTTGTTTTTGTTTTTTTTTGTGTACATACTGTGTTTTAAATTATTTTCTGCAAACAGTTTATGAATTAAAAATCTTTCATAAACTTTAAATGTTTGACATCATTTTTATTTGAATAAACTTACAGCAGAAGAATTTACATTTTATAAGGTAAAAATTCATTTGCAGAGATCAATAAATGGTGCTTAAATAAAGTACATAGAACTTCGTAATACATTTAAAATGTAACATTTCAGGGCTATTGGTAATGCTTACCTGACTGTATGGAAGCCTTGGAGGGTCACTTTTGAGTTTCGACTTATAGATTTATTTTACTATTTTCTTATGACTTTTGATTTATGACTTTTGATTTATGACTTTTGATTTATGACTTTTGATTTTTGACTTATGGATTTTGTTACTGTCCCACGTGCTTGCCTCATTATTTCCAAGGAAAATACGGCAGAATATGACAACGATTCAGACGAGGTAAGTTCATTTACCTAAGTTTCTTGGAGACTTATTTAAAAACAAAATATGTGGGTACATATGCAAGGACAGATGTTATTCTTATATAAGCCTTTTTAATTGATTAAGAAAAGAAAATATTTTGCTTGCATTGCATTGCATTTGGTATCCATTTTTTATTTTGATTTCCGGAACAGGGATATATAATCTCAAATTGACATACAGCGTATGAATCAAACGCTTTATTTTTTTATGTAGGTTCCAGTTTTAAATCCAAATCAGTCTCAAATTGTTGTTTGCTGCAGTTTCAATCGGTTTCCACCCGTAGTTCATTCTTCGTCCATCTTATATTGAATAGAGACCAAATTATAGGCCTTATTTTGACAAAGAAATTTGTAATTAAGAAGTTTCATGAAACATGGTATTTCAAAAACAATAAATCATACAGCTTTGAAACTTCACACACTTCAGACACTTAAGTAATAAATCTCTGAATTGCATTGTTATCAAAGTATGCCTCTTTTTCGACTTTGAATTTGTTGTTTAGAATTTTCATGAAAAATGGTTTCGCAAAAACTATTTTAGCGATTCCTTTGAAACTTAAAACACATTTTAAGTGTTGACATCTAAGGTCAATGACCAAGTTTCGTATGAGTGGCTCACAATTTGACATACTGATGCCCATTTTTAAAGCTAAAATGTTTTGTCAGAAGGTTTATGAAATATGGTCCCATAAACCAGTTTTGATATAATATTGAAACTTTATTATTCACTTGTTCAATATCAATAACTTAGGACAACTACTAAGTACAAAGTACATGTTATTTGTATATAAACTTTTGAATACAGTTATGTATTAAGGGATTTTTTGTATTTCATTTTGTATATATAGGTATTTCATTTCAATTGAGATAACACATACTTTTAATGTTTTCAATTTAAATTCTAGTAAAGCTACCTGTAGGGATTAAGGACGTGCTGTCGAATGGTTTCAACTACAAAGCAGTTGCAAGAGCATCAGCAATACATATTTGTCAAGTTTTCGGAGCCAGTTTAGAAGACTATGAGGTTTCATTGCAACACAGCGTTCGTTCCGAGTGGAAAGTAGTACAGTTTAGCAAATGCAAAATGTGCAAACACTGGTGATTTGGTTTTCTTCGTTATTGTCTATGGAAATATTCAGACATTTTCGGAATACGAGGGTTAACCTTTTCACACTTGTTTCAGACGCTCGACAACCCCACCATTTATTGTGGACGCTTATTGGAAACACACAATTCACGTCTCGCCACGTTTATTTTATATTGTCGATATCTCCAATATGGTATAAAACTTGTATCGATAGACAGGTCATCGTGAGACAAAGAAAGGTGTGAAAAATCATGAATTCATAATTCTGGCTTTCATAATTTTCAGTATTTGCACATTGTAAATTTTAAAACTTATATGAAAGGTATCGAAATCAAACTTTGCATGTTCATATAGCTCGGCGAGGCAGTAAGAAACATACTTCTTAGCTATCATAAATTTTAGAAAGTCTTGTTTTTTATTGTTTTTTTTTTTCATACTTAGATTTTGTTAAGCTCATAATTATCTCAAAAACTGTTGAAGGCATCAACTTGAATTTACTGGCAGATATATCTCGACGAGACAGAGTGCATTGTATTGTTAACAAAACTTTTGATTATAAAATTAAATCGTTCTCCTAAGTTAAAAATTCCCTTTTTTGACATGGACATGCCGTGGGTTGTGGGTATGCTCATTACGAAAGACTATGAGATTTCCTTTACATATAAAATTGGTCATACTTCGAAAAAAAATGTGGACGTTATTTAAAGTTAACTAGGAAATATTATGCGAGAGACTGTGTTTGTTTTTTCTTTCTTTTGAACATGTAGAAATGAAGAAATAACGCTCTGACAATGATTTTAAAAATCTTGACTTCAATAATAATAATAATACAAACACTCTAACGTTGCTAATTTACCTAATTTATCTTATGTTTTCAAACGCTTTGTTAAAACACTCATGATTTTCTTAGTTTTTCATCAGTAACGTATCACAATGTGTTGTTTTGTAGAAATATTGCATGCATATATGTCTTCTGTGACGTAAATACTTGAAGTTTTTGTTGATGGCAGTGTTCATTTTAAGCTGTTCCTTAGTGTTAGCTTTTAAGTAAGGCATATGTGCTATTTTAGAAAAAAATGCTAGCCTCTGTATTTCTTATCTCTCTTTTTTTTTTAAATTAAATATAATGAAGCTCAAATGCAGTTTGTTTTGCATATCTAATACATTTGTTTTCTTATAAGACAACAATTTTGTTAAACAAAATAAAGCACGGTTGTAGAATTAGAAATGTTTGTTGTTATCTGTTTAAACGCATTTATTCCAAAAAATTATTGATAGCTCTGCCAACCTGTCACGGTCTAGACCGTGAGGTAAAAAAAAACTTTGGTAACGTGGTCTCTCGGTAGAGGTATATTTAGGTGGTCTGTTGAGGGAGTTGGCTGGTTCCACACAGTTTACTTCTATAGTGATTGATATTCTATTTCTACTTTGCTCATTTTAACCTCTTACATATAATTTTAATGGAACATTGACTCTACATAAATAAATAAATTCTCTGTAACATTTAAATACTGTTTATTCTGATAGTAAATTGCAAGTTTATTTTGGTTATAACAAAGTTACAATAACACAATAATAAATTGTAAACAAATGAGGACAATGTATTTTTATCATTCATGACCAGATTAAATATGCATTTTTCTACTTACAACATTGGAAAATTGATATCTCGCTCGACCTTCGGTCTTGCGAGATATCATTTTTCCACCGCTGCTCGTAGCAATATACAAAGCCTTAAAAAGCTACTACTACATAATATTCCGTTTATATCTTCTTTAATTTAATGTATTATAATGCCTAACGCTTGTTCCCTCTTTAATAGTGAACACGGAAAAATAGCGTACCAGTCAACCGTGACTAAATTCAACAAAGAATTAAATAATCTTTTTCAAGATGTAAAATGTTAATGAAAAATTGTAATAAAGCTACACATCTAGAAAATAGCTCAGAACTGTTTAATCTGAATAAAAAATTCTTATTTATCAATAACAGTTTATTTACTTTTATACTTAATGCTGCAGACAGCACATATGAATGAATGTTCCGAATTAAACCTTCTATACATATGATTTTACAAAAACAATTGATGTTGATTCTTCACGTAAAAAAGATCAACTATCATATGATAAAATCATATGAATGCAATAATTCTAATGCAAAAATGAGGCTAGTGGCTAAATGTACTTGTAAACATTATATGACTTCAACACCACTCTCGGCTGATGTGCTAATTTGCTTATTTTGCACTAATCTAAAATCAAGTTAAACTAATGTTTATACCAAGGCAAAGAGTAACAGCAAATGACAAAAGTTATAAGTCAAAAGTCAAAAGATAAAAGTCATAAGTAAAAAGTGATAAATTATAAGTG